ATAAATATTATTAAAATTGTTATATTTGTTTTTTGATAACTAAATAAGTAAATATATTAAATAATAATATAAAAATAATTGATATGACAAATACCAAAAATCTTACCTAATATGAACGAAGACAATGATCGAGAGTCTTATCCGATAAATGATGACGACAATTCTTACTATGGTTAGTGCTTATCGGCTAAGTTATTACATATGATGTTATTTTGATAGACTGAAATCTTAACCTATAAATAAACAATAGCATTAAATTTCACCATTAAATGCTTATCGGATAAGTGTTTTTATTACGAGTAAAGTGACCAAATTTGTAATTTTTAATCTTGATTCTTTCCACCAATTGGATAGGTTGACTCTTTGACAAAATGATATCCGTATAAAAATCCGACCCGCCAGGTGTCCTTTAAAGGGACTCAGAACATGGACACGTGTCCCATGCGAACCCAGAATGCATATTGGTTTACAGCATTACTAATAAATATGACCACCGTCTTCCATCTCATTATTCATCACCGATTCATAATCTGCAAGCAAACCTCTTCCTTCCGCCATCGGTTCGCTTCGAATGGCCGTCGTCGCCGATTGAAAGCCGCCGGATTCCTGATCACCGTAAGAAACAGAAACTACTTTGATCTAAGGTATCGAGGATATAAAACGTACTATTCTTGTTTCTGAGTAATCATAATGGCGAAGAAGAGGAAGTCTGCTGCGTCGAGCCTAGACGAAATCGATCGGACGTTGTACTCGACTTTTTGCAGCGCTGCTAATTCTCTCTCTCAGCTGTACTCTCAGGCCATGAGCCAACAGAAACTATGTTTCCTATCTGGTGAACGCCATGGATTGGTATGAAGAATTTTGATGTTTGATATGATTATATGTGCTACTGATTTTATTGGGCAACGAAAACCCTAACTTTTTTCATTTATGTGAATTGCTTGGTTTGGTAATTTTGAAAATCTCGCTGTGAATGTTGGATTAGAGAAACTATTGCTTGTTTGAGTAATTTGAGTATTTTTTATGATCTTTGGCTGTGTTTGTTTGGTGATCGGATTAATTTGTGTTTTTATGGGACTATATGATTGCTTGATTTTAATCTGGATTAAATGATCTAGTGATAATTGTGTAGAAAGTAGTACATTATCAGTTTATTTACTCTGAACTTGGCATTTATTGTAATAGCCTCCGATTAGCATCTTTAGAAGGTTTAGCATATGCCTAGGCTGATTGTAGGTGCTTGGGGCAATAACTGACTTGCCCTTGTTGGGGGAGAAGTCCTATAAGACTAAAACCTTTGAAGATATTGAAGAATTGTGAAAATGTGGGAGGGCATGCTCAGTCTCTCTGAGTCTGTTGTAACTTGAAGTTCTATGGAATAGATGCTTCCGAGTAGTTGAATTTTGAGGCCTTGTGTATGGTGCAATGGTCTTTTTGGCTAGGAAGTGGGGTTCTTTACTCCTTTCCGAATCCCGGATTGTGCATAGATGTTAGAAAGATGTGCCAAGTCATGATTGTAATGAACTGCTAGTAAGCAGTAGCAACATGATGCCAACTGGGTTCACGCTTACGCAATTTACATTATATGTAAGTAGTAAAATGAATAGCAATTAGCGACTGTTGGATACCATCAAGCACACAATTATATTTTAATTCTTCCATCAAACATAAAGCATTTGGTATAAAAAATAACTAAAACTGTTGATATTCAATAAAAACATCACACAAGTAAAAAAAAACGTACCGACACAATTAAATAACTGCTACAATTGTAGTAGTTAATAAATTACCTTTTGATAATATAATAACCTAATACTGTTAACTAATTGCTAAGAAGGTAACCTGATATTATCAAATACCAATTGCTAATTACTAACCTTATATTATAAATTTCCAATTGTTGATATAATAACCTGATATTGTAAATTGCTAATACAATAACCTACTATTATAAAGATACTTAACAAACTACGATTGTAGTGCTACAATAACCTCATGATATGTTCTGAATGGCTTAAATAATGGTTGATTGATTGAATTGTTTTACAGCTAAAACATCCTCGTGAACTCTGTATTCTTCCTGTTGGCTATTGGGAGCATGGCCTGGGAAAGTGGTGGCTTAACTGTGATGTCACAAAGCATGAGATAACTATTCCTGAGTGGCGTGGAGGTTGGGTTTTTTGTTTGAAATGAGGAAGACTGAAACCTATATTTTCATGGGATAACTTCAAAGATAATGCTCAAATTTACCAGGTTTAGAATCTTATGTTAGAGTACTTGCAGAAGCTACGTCTCCCTGAGGTCCATGGATTGTGACTATCTAGGCTAGCCACTTACAATTTTAGGCTAGCAAGTTAAGATTGTCCCTCTATTCTAGGCCAGCCAGTTACGATTCTGTCTTTGCACATAAAGAAGGTTGCCGATAATTCAGCTAACTCATCCATGACTGGGAAATTTAATGCGTAGCTTGCATACCTTATCCCATAGTAAAAGTCTAGACACAAGATAAATATAGCCCTGGATTTTTCAAGAGACGATTTGAGCTGAGCTGGATGAAATACCTTCCATGCTGCATATGGATCAATGACCACTAATAAGAGGGTTTAATTTAAGTAGAAGGTGCCATTGATCCTTTCTTCTTTCTGTTGTTCACTAACCGAGTCCTCTTAATAGGCAGAAGCATCCTCTCTTCTACTTTAGCACCTGCTATAGAAAGCTAAAGCTTCATCTAAGTTATATTGTTAAATTTAGGATTCTATCGAGTATCTTTATTTCCGGTACATCTGAATATCAATTTCAAACGCACATACTCTCTCTCTCTCTCTCTTTCGTGTGCGCGTCTGCAAGAATTGTATTTCCCTATTTTCGTAGAATAAAAAGATCCTAAATTGCATACCGGTCATTTATAAGTTTAAAACTTTAAATATGTACCGAAAGCTCTTGTGCACAGGACTGAAGGCATTAGTATGAGTAGGTGTTGTAATCAAAGCATGTAATTTGCTTATGATGGATTAGAGGCATAATGATGTGGTTGTTTTCAGCATGATAAGAATGATTTTTCTCCCATTACTCATATGGGTTTTATGTGTAATGTTTTCTCTTTAATGTATTTATGCGTTAATATCTAATCTTTATTCAATTGTCATCTGAAATCTTGTTTATATTGGGAATGCCAATCATTGTTTATGCTGATGGCTTTGACAGGAAATGCTCTATCAATGGATTTCCAAGCAGCATGAGGAAGGACTGAGAGTCACATCAGATGACATACTAGCCTATATTCAGGTTTCCGTTTCATATTTTGAACTTATACCTTGTGTGATTATGTATGAGATAATGAGACAACTTTCATCCATATGTGCGTGGGAGTAGCTACCAAGTGTATCCATTCGAATGTGATTGTGATCTATCTAATCAGCATCATATTGACCCTGATGAGAGACCATTACTCTTACCATCCTCATCCATTTTAAGATGATTTGCTGGTGATTTTGCTCTGAAATAACAGTAATAATTCATGATTTTTGCAATTATAACCCTAAAGCCTCTGCATCATGCATAATTCTGACTCCGAAATTCGTTTCAAATATCTACAAGAAACGATCTGAGATTTCCTTATTCATTTCAAATATTTACAAGAAACAAGTGTTTGATAATAGAGTAAGCAAGGATAAGTATGGCTTGCCCTTTGCATTGATCTAATAAAGCAGATGGAATAGTACGATGGTTATGAAGTTACCTAATTTGGTATGCATTGGTTAATGGTACAGGTTTGTGGTTCACGGGGGAAGTCGTATTAGGTAGTTATTTATTTACATCTTTATCAAAGAAAGCAAGAGAGTGGGGTCTAACCCTAGGACCTCATACGTATTACCATCTAGGGTATGAGCTTAAGTACTATAAACAAGCAGATGAGCATTTTGTCAAGTTCAAAACCTTTTATGCTTTAAATACGGTCAACTAACACATAAATTTTAAAAATATCTTAGTCACAATTTGTGAAGCATGATGTACACATTGTATCCTTTCCGGACATGATACCCTCGAGGTGCCATCAAGATTCTTTCTTGATCCCCTCTGTTATGCTTCTTTTCCTCTCGATGTCATGCCCATCCACCCCAAAATCTCCATCTCAAAAAGAAAGGTGCATCTAGTAGATTTAGAAACCATCGTGGGCTACATTTTCCATATCTTTTCATCATGCCCAAATTCGATTGGAATCTGTCCAGATTTATTTGGATTTGCTTACTTGACAAATTAGCTCATGAATGCACCCAAAATGGACACAAAAAAATCAACTCGTGATCTATAGGGGTCGAGAGTAAATATTACCATCAAGTATATTAGGCGGAACAAATATTTAATTTCCCGTGATGCATAAATGTCACCCTATTACATTGCTGTGCAGGCTGAGCTGGATTCATCAGGGGAGGAGCCATCAAGAACCTTACAGCAGAATCAGCAGCCTGCAAATCTGTTCGCAAATTCCAACTCATCTAGCATGCCGACTGTTGCACTGACCGATCAACAACCCAAGAATTATATTTTCTCAAATGCTTTATCAAGCCCAGTTCGTCGCAGCCTTCAGAACTATCAGAATCGTGATTCTAATATCTTCGATTCATCAATGGACATGCATGCAGATAGCACAGGTCATGATTCTGCTCATTGAACAACTTTCGTTCTATGTTTTCTTTCCGCCTTGAATCCATTAAAGTTTATCATCCATTTGTTAGTTTTAGTATCATGGCTTGTCGCTTATGCAATTCGTCGTAATACCGGAGAATATGGAGAAAAGAAATCCGAAACTCGAGTTTTAGTTTACAGAAACAGAGGCTATATAATCCTTGTTGAACCATGTGACTTATGAGTAGATCTTTCATGTTATGCTTAAAGTTATTTTCGTGGAATATTTAAAGTCCTTCCAACATCCTTGCATTTGTCTGCTTGATAGCTTTCTTGATTTCCATTGTTGTTTTTTGAGGAAAATTGTAGTTCAATGTTAACAAATTATGAAATATATGAGGCTACCCCCCAAACCTTGGCTGGCGGTGGGTACGACGAATGAGCGGGACCCACTAAAACGGTGGCATTTCACATTTGGTTTACAAGTAGATTTTAGGGGCTGTTTGGTTGATTTTCCACTAAATCCTATATGGATAAAGCTATTTGTATGGATTAATCTGTTAGTATAAATTAGGAAGTTTTTTTTTTTCCAGGCATGTTATTTAATTGGGAGGTATAGGTTTGGAAAAAGCCGACTTCTTCCATAAAGTTTCCCCTAGAATAGGTTTGGAGAAAAACCTGACTTTCTCCATAAAGCTTCTCCTTAGAAACTTATTGGATAAGTCATTTTCTATATTATTAAGCCACTACCAAACAATTACGTATAGATGACCGAATAAGCCACGAGTCTCATTAAGTTCGTTAAGCTGCTAACAAATAGACTCTTAAGTGTCCTTGGAGGTTAAAGTTTAGGCTTTCATCAATGAGCGCGTTTGATCCCTCGATGCATCATCGATCTATTGAAATAGAGAATGAAGAGAAGGATAAAATAAATTTATATTATATAATATAACATTTAGGTTTTACGTCTTAAAAGTTCGTTAAAAATACAAATGTTTAGAACTATGTACAAATTAATAAGACGAAAGATTGTGTGAGAAGGGAAGTTATGATGAAAAGCGTAAGAAGAGATCTGAATCCTTGATCACTTTTAATCTCATGTCCACCCATGAATTGCGTTTTGCGCTTTAGAAGAGAATTGATCCCGTCCATCTATATGTACTTCATTAGTGTTGATATTCAATTAGGATCAAATCTTATTGGGGAGATCTCTTCTTACGTTTCTCACCATAACTTCTTCTCTCACCGGAACCCTACCCAAATTAATAATGCATACAACCTTACATTTTTTATGATGTTTTTACTTGAACCATTCTATAAACAGCAAGAAAAGAAAATTGAAAGGTTTTTAGTATATTTTTTTATATTTAAGAAAGCATCTAACTTCTCTTAAATATAATTAAGTTTTTAATAAAACAAATTATATATTTATTTTCTTTAATTTGATATCCATATTTATATATACACTATAATAATATTGATTTTATAGGACGTCTAAAATGTAGAAGCATCCTAAAAAAATACTTTTGTGACTTAAGTTTATAGTTTCAAACCAAAAAAACATGATCTCTAAATGTGTTATAATAGGTTTATATAATTCTTTTAGGCGCTTTAACCTATGTTGTTACTGCGGTCAAAATACAAAATATCGGTCACGATCGATATTCGATATTTCGGTTATATCGGTCCAAAATAACGGTTAATGTAATGTTTCTTAGAATTATATATATATATATATATATATATATATAATATGAGTGCATCCATAAACATATCATATGCATTAATTAGAGTTTAGAAATATTAACACATCACATAAACATGTCTCATAAAAAAAATAGGAAAAGTGTTCAAAAACGAGCTAATCACAAACAACAAGCATGAACTGTGAAAGAACCGAGAAGAGAAGAAGCGTGAACTGTGAAGAACCGAGAAGAAAAAAGCGTGAGACCTAATATATGTGTTGACTGGTTGACCAAATAAAAAAGCACAAAAAACTAAGACTAACATGTAACAAAAAAAGCTCAAACATTTGCCTTAAAGAAAATCGTTATATTGAACCAAATTTTTCATCAAAATATCTATAAATACCAGCGATATTATCGGAACTGATATTTCACCACTGATATTTTTCTAGAGACCGATATCCGATATATCGCGATTTTAACAGCATAGGCTTTAACAAGGTTTTTATGATACTTTTAAATAAAATAGTGTATTAACTATTTAATACTATATTATTTGGAAAAATGTTCTTTAAATACATAGATTTATAAGACACTTTTAAAAGGTGTTCTAAAAAAAAACTGATAAGACACTTCATTTTAAATGTGTCATAAAGGAAATTGTTAAAACACATAAAAGCGTCCTATAAACATATTGTAACGCTTTTAGATATGACACATTATAGTTTGCACTTATAAATCTAATTTTATAAAGTATTCTATTAGGATGTGTACAAATCTAGGTGTCCCATAAAGTCAATTTTGTTATAGTGATATTTTTAATTTTTTTAACCCGGTTTTCAAAATTCCAATCACGAGTATATTCACATGCAAGCGTATTCACAATATTTTTGTTATATTATACAATATTTACAACTTATTTAATACGTTTCAACTCAATAAAACTAACTCGTAACCAAGTGATAAACATGTTCAAATACAACATAAGCGTTAAAACCTTACAACTACGACAAAATAACGGATAGAATACTCTTTTGATCTTTTAAAACCACACAAATTTATAAAATAAATCGAGAGAGACGAAATAGAGATGTATTGTGTTATGTTGAATAAATACACTTCTGATATCAAATAAAATTATGATATATCAGGAGATGATTAGTGGAACAGAAAACGGACAGAATGTACGTCTGATATGATGAAATATTTGGAATATAAACTGATTGTGATGTCTCGAGAATAAGAGATAAGGGTGTTTGCGATCCGATTTGGGCGGTTTATGTGACATTCAGAAATTTTATGAATTCAAGTTTCAATATGTTCCTCGTTAACATAATGGTTTGACTAAGTAATAAGAGTTCTCGTCTTTAGTCGGATGTTGAAAATAAGCAAAAAAAAGCTCAAAACGTGTAGAAAAGGGTGTTTTCTAACCCTCGAATCACAACCCTTGCACCCCGGGTTAGGATCACACTTTATGTACCGAACGGGGTGGTTTTTGGGAAGATGCAACCCTTGTATTGCGACCCTGGGTGGCTGGGTCGCATGTCAGGGTCGCACATAGCCACCAGGGGTTAGAAAAATCGGATTTTGGGGGTAAAACTTCATTTCGCCATAACTTCTTCATCTCTACTCCGTTTTGGGCGATTTTTTTTGCTATAGGTTCGTTTCTTTAGATCTTCAAGATAGGAACAATGATGATTAATGATTCCTTGATGATTTGGAGTTCACATAATTTGAAGGTAAGATCACATCTTTGTCCTTTGAATCTAGGGTTTGGTCATTTTGCACTGACAACTCTCATTTTCTCTCGGGTTCTATTTTATGTGTTTATTGGAAGAAAATGAAGTGTTATTGAGAGCTTTGTATCATATATTTGGAGTTTTAGTTTGAGGATGTCATCTCTTTAGGGTATTTTTTTTAAATATGCTAAAAGTTGAGGGGGTGTTTCGAAAATTGGTTTAAATATCATATATCTCCATCGTCTCATTCAATGGATATATAAATTATTTCTTTTGAATTTCCTTTAGCAAGTTTTTGGGATAAGAAAAGTTGATGAATTATTCTTGGTTTCTTGGGTTCGAAGAAACAAAAGCAGAAAAGAAGAAAGCTACGTGATTTTTTATCTGATAATTTGTTGTTGTTTTAAACTCTTCAATCTACTTGTGTTACAAGGTGAATTTTTACTTTAAAGCATCTTTTGATATGCTTTACTATGAAACCATATGGTTTCGAATGGGTGTTTTCAGAAATGATTAAATATTATTTAATTAGTATAATTTTTGGGTTTTGATATGTTATTATTAATTGATTGGAATAACAGTGACATAACCAGGAGATGCGTATAATTTGAAATAAGAGTGACATAATCAGGATAGATGTAAAATTTAACCTTTGAAAACATAGAATATATTTCGGATCCAGCAAGATCGTTTTACATAAAGTTCTATCGTTATGAATTTGGATCTTATGACAAAACTTGGACCCTTAAATATTTATAATCCCAATAATATTTTGGATCCTCGAGACTTTTTAGATCCTAATATCTTTTGAATCATGCTATTTATGTATCCCCTTATTTACAGATCCTCTATGCATTTTCAGATCCTTGAGGATTTTCGGATGCTAATGCGTTTTGGATTTCATCTGCATACAAATATGGATCTGATAAAATATGACTTATTTTGTATTTTCAATTCTGGTTTATTAGATGTATCTGTGCAATCATCAAATCAAATTGTTAAAACTAACAGTCACTATTTCGAGTGATTTTCATTTCAGAACTCAATGTTTATATGATGCTGACATGTCATAGATAAAACTTGATGCCTTTGTTTTACAGATATATATTTCTAAACTCTAAACCCTAGAAATAAACATTTTTTAAGTATAATTTGTAAACACGTCTTCTTCTGATGGTATATTTGATTCAGTGAGAATTAAATAAAGTAGGTTTTATAAGATATTACCCAAAACTGAGGATCACATAACCTGTTTGTAAATTAGTTGTGTCTCATCGAATGTAACGGCATGTAAGATTTTTATTGTAAACCGAGAATGAAAAAAATAAATGAATCAGACATTAACAAAATCCAAATTTATAGTAATGGACTTAAATCTATACTATATTGTAAAGCATTTGACAAAAACTCTTAAAAACCATTTTTAGGCATAAAGTGCTGTTTATCAATGCATGTTACTTAAAACTCAAGATTACAAGTAGATTGTGCGTAAGTACAACTTGTTAAAGCTCCATATCTAAATTCGTGTAACTAAATGCAGATAAAAATAATCAAATACATGTAAACATCTCATTTTAAATATAAAAAATCTAAAATATAATTAAGATAATCATTGAGTTCTGACAGAATATTTAATTATTATCTTTATAAAATGTTACATTATTAAACCAAAAATTAATTATTTCATTATTAAACTTAAATTAAATTATCTATACTATATTATAAAGCATTTGACAAAAACTTTTAAAAACTATTTTTTATGCATGAACTACTATTAATTGATGCATATTACTTAAAATTCAAGATTACAAGTAAATTGTGCGTATGTACAACTTATTAAAACTTCATGCTTGAATTCGTGTAAATAAATGCAGATAAA